GTCAACTAAGAAAATGGACAAATGGTGTTCTCACCCACTTTGTCACAATGAGATTTGAAAATCATTGTATTTTGCCTTTAGATTTATTAACAAAATTGGATTTGGGTTTGTATCTATAATCGTTATTAACTCATTCACTGCCAGCCATTTTCAAATGGCTGGCAGTGCTGATAAATCACTGCGCTGATAAATCACTGCTTACAGAGACAGATGTCTGAGCTAATTAACACTTTTGAAGTGGGAGCAATGGATCACTTTATTATACTGAGAAAACTACAAGTAACCAGTATTTTCACAACAGCAGCATGACGAAGTCCAGGTGCTGGTTTTCCAGTGTGTGCGTCTGATGGCCCAAAGCTGACTCAGAGCTATAACACCATCCATGGCTGCAGCATGGAACAGATGTGGGTGTGACATCTCCCAGAGGAGTCCAAATCGTCATCAAACAGCCCTACAGAGACAAAAACGTGAAAATATAAACAACCAGACTATCAGCAGAGATTTAACTACTTTAAGACCTCTGTGAAAATCATTTACAGTATATATCACAGAATTTAAGGCCTTTATAATCAGAGCATACAGAGAAAAGTACTGAGCTGAATCAATTTCAGTTTTTGTTTCTCATGATATATATTGTATTAACAATTAAATTTCATTATCTGTGTCTTTGCCACACAGGTGTAGATACCGTAGGTTCAGTGAATTCTTACATTGCACTGATTAGAATATACTGGACATTCAAAGCTAAGATTCAGCGCACCGTGTTAGAGGCTGGGATTTGATGAATTCATCATATATACAACCTTTGATCATCGTTTATGTCCAGTTGAGAATGAATCTGTGCACTCACATATTAAATGAACTGAAATCAGTAGTGTGATCTCCAGTCTTGATATATTAAATGTGAGAACTGACAGATGTTATTTTAATCAGCCTGTCTCAGTTGTTTTAACTCTTAAGTATCACAAAGTAATGTGGTAACATCTGGACTGACGAGTTTACTGTCAGCATTTTAATCGCTAGTTTAAAGGCTGTAGGCTGCAGCTGTTGCTCTAACGCTGTATAAATGTAACAGGCCTCAGTGCTGGTTCTTAGGGTTGCCAACTCCCTGAAAAATAAATAAGGGACACCTCGTGGCCAGGGCCGGGCGACCCAGTTGTCTTCACCCTTCCCAGTGTGGTGAATTTTCTAGCTCTTTTTTTGTGTGTGAAATTATTTTTTTAACCATTTGACTTGAAGTTGATTTAAGTAGATGTGTATTCTATTCTTTGTGATATGAACACATGTGAAACAAATGATCATTTAGCCATTTATTTTTAGCTCAAAATGACAACATTAACACGATAAAACAGGTCTCTTTCTTAAACAGAAGCCTGTCATGCTTAACTTTTGAGAATATAAGTAAATCTTTCTTTAAAAGCACTCTGTCCTGCTTAACTTAAAATAATAGAAAACAATAGAAAGAAAAATATTCTTGTAACAGTGCACATATAGTGCATTTAGTACAATTGGCTTCAGTTGAGGTATTATTTCAGCTTTTCTAATGCTAATCAGCTGCTCCTGTTTGTAAACCCGCTTGTTCCCATGATTACGCATCATAACTCATCATCATTATTCATCTATGTATTACTTTTATGTATTAGTCATCTATTTGTTGTAATCATCTATCCTTGCAGTCGTTTATTACACAAAATAAATGATATTATCACACTTCTGGCCACATAGCGCTGATATTCACTGCACATGCCCATATTAACTTTTTCCAGCCAGGTGTTTTCCTTTTCCCATTCTTCCCTTTCTCTGAGGGGAACAAACATTGCTGCTCTAATGCTGGGCTTACACTGTGCGGTTTTTGGCCCATTTTGAGCCGATTTTTGAGTGATCGGACCGATTTTGGCCTTCATCGTGCATCGTGTAGTATACGTGGGGTAACGAGAAGTGATTAACACCTCACGACCAGCTCCCGATCATCAATCGCTTGTGAGGGTCTCACCACAGCCGCTCACACTGCTCGCGCGCAAACACGTAAACGTTGGTGAAAAAGACGGAGCAGCACAGCAGTGCAGCGTGTGATCTGGACACAAGCGATGGAGGCACAACTTGTAGAACTTTGGAAAGCTCATCCGAGCCTTTTCGATGTGGCATCACAAAATTATCACGACCACAACAACCGTGAAAATAGTTGGATTTACACTGCTGCTCAATCACAGCTGCCTGATCATGTTTTTCATTAGCAATTTAGCAAAGTTGATGGTGGTGGTGTGTCTGTGTGAGTGAAAGACTAAGAGAGCGACAGATTTTCTGTTATAACCTTCATGTTATGGAGGCACAGTGTGAGCACTCAGGTCGCATCAGAGCATCGGGCGGTATAGTGTGAGAGTGCATCGTGACCTACCAACTTCTAATCCCTGCGAGTCAATCGTGCAGTTTGAGCAGGAGCTGAATAACGTGACTGAAAAAATTGCACAGTGTCTGCCCAGCTTTAGGTGTACTGTCGTCCGAGACTTGCACCGCAGAGTCGGCGTTTGTTCCCCTGTTGGCCATGCTTCTTGTCGTGGTCATCTGTTGTCTTCCGGTATTTTCTCCGCAAGCGACCTTTCCTCGACCAATGAGATGAGTGGTAATCTGAATTGTCATACTCGAATTGTCATAAGTGTGCTGTCAGCTCATTGGTCACAAAGCAGGAGAGGGGCTGGGAATTATGTTTTCAAACAAAGCGTTAATTCCATTAAAAGTTATAGACTACTTTTGATTCTCACTGTATTACGGGACAAAGTGCGTCCCTTATTAGCTCAATACGGGACGTGTTCTTTTGTTTCGAAATACGGGACGATTCCGTATTTTAAGGGACGGTTGGCAACCCTACGGGTTCTAATAGACTGAGCTGCTTCCAGCTTTATTTGTGAAGAGCACAGCAGCTTAGAGAACACGTAGCGAGCTCGTACAGCTGCGACGTAAAACTTTCACGAGCTAAGATGACCTTAAAATAACGGGGCTACGTGCGGTGATGCTAGCGTTAGCCATGTTAGCACGTTACCTTCACAGGTGGTCAGACAGGCACTCAGTCAGAGGTTGTGCTCTCCGTTTCGCTGCAGGGTCCCTCCCGAGGCTGAACGGCCTTTGTACAAGCACACACGCTTCTTAGCAGGGTGAAGCTATGAGCTAGAAAAATTCAGGCTGGCAGACAGCCTGTGTCTGACCAACCAATCTCCTTTGAATAGCAGCAGGATTTTTAAAATGAAGTTGTTAATCCAACTGCTAATCCACATGTTAATCCCTGAGCGAACAGGAAAGGGAAATGGATTTTGAAATGCAGTTTATTAAAGTGCAATTCAAAAAAAGGTTTTTGAAATGAAGACTTAAAAAGCATTTTAAAAATCAGTTTATTAAATTGGAATTCAAAAATGAATTTACAAATGCAGATTTTATTCTACAATTCATTATTTAAGCACGAATTTTTTTTTATTTTTATTTCGATGCGCGTGGCTCTTGTGGTCCTCCATACCAGCTCAATAGGGGACCCGGGGTTTAAGGCTCATTAGAGCCACCGAGAACATCGGAGTCCCGGAACATTGTTTTCAGACCTCCGTGGTCTTTCGCTACTTGGGTTAAGCACAATATATAAGTCACAAAAATGTTATTGTTTGGCTTTTTTCAGTGTTTTATTTGTCCTTGATTAAATCGGTTTTGCTGAAATTAAAGTTCCAGTTTTCACACAGCTGAATAAACGTCAAACAGAAAACTGATTGAACTAAAGTGTGAGATGGACTCCAATGTCCTGTTATATTTTAGGGAGCAAGGAGCAGATGGCTGCCTTTAATAAACTCCTGAAGGCTGAACGGTCCCATTTCATAGCCTCGCACTTCCGGTCCTCTTGGTCTGCGATTTATAAGAGAAAAGGCTTGAAAGCACTCTCCACCTGTGAGCAAAAACAAACCCCACCCCCCTCTGCCTTTCCTATTCGTCCAAAAAAGTACCATGTCGACCAATCAAAAAATGATATGGCAACGTGGCATTTAGTTGTTTAGGAAGGGGGAAGTTTTAGGAGTTATGGCGGTGTTTTGAGATGTGAGAGATTTGCGACGTTTGGCGCAAATCTTGTGTAGTTAGTGTGTAGTGTAGTCAATAGTGTTGTGTGTGTCAGAACAATGAGGCGACTGCTGAGTGTTACAGGTGTTACAGCAGTGATACATCTGCTGCTGTCAGGCCTGCAGGTATCAGGCTGTTGGTCTCCTTCATCTCATAGTGGACAGAAATTATTTTTTTGGAGTGGCACAAATAATTTGTGTGGCATCAGATTTGATGCAGAACAGCTGTTCTGTAAATAGTTTGAAATGTTTATTTAAAAACGCCTTGGCTGCATTTAAAAAAAAAAAAAAAAAAAAAAAAAAAAAAAAAAAAGCTGCAAAAAACTTTGTTTGCCAAACTGAGTTACTTTTTTGAAGAAGTAACTATATAATTAATTGCCCACCATTGGTCATTATATACTGTATTTTGCCGACAGAGTTACAGACTCTCTCAGAGCTTTATAAAAAAAGAAAAAAAAAATTGTTTTCAAAATTGGAGTGCAAGTTATTTTTGCTTCCAATAGTGTTAACATGCTACAGGTCATGAACAAGATTTTTTTTTTTTCCATTTTCATTGTAAGTGGGCTAAAGCAGTTAATTAAAAGTCATCTAACATAAATGTAAATGCTGTAATTTGATTATTTTAATAAACCATGAAACTTCGATGGATTCGATGCCAGCATGACCACAGTGCACACGTCTGATGTCGCTCACAGTGGTCCAAGAGATCGCTCAGGGAGTTTGTGTGTTCGCTCAGACACGTGAAAAATTAGAGGGAACATTGACCACAACATAACCTAACAGACCTACACCTTAGTTGACAGATATGTTTTGTCTAGGGTTTATTTCTGGGATTTCGTTTTATTTTTTTAAATCTTCTGTGTGTCTGTGTCCATAATATACCTTTCTCCTGCTTTTTTTGTTTCACTGTAGTTTGCAAAGATCACAGAGGGAATCATGACGTCACACGGCTGTTTTCTCTGCCTGTTGCTTTTTAGTGTGAGTGTTCTCTTTGCAGTTTTACTCTATTTGCTTTTATATAAGTGCTGTAAAATGTGCTCTTGGTGATCCGAACTTAATAGTTTCGAGAGGAGCGCGAATGTTTTTAGTTTTAATGTTTTGTTGATTACTGTAACTTCTGGTTTTATTAAAAAGCTATGAGACCTAAAGTACTCATTTGTCATTTTTTTTTGGTAGCCTGTCCTCCTTAAATTTAGGTCTGCATTAGTTTAGTTTATATAGTGTTATACAAGTTATGTTCATTATATGGTGGTAATTCTGTCCGTCAAATTAAACAACGTTTTGTCTACCAGGTAATCCTGATCGAGCCATCAGAAGCAGGTTGTATGGACCACTTCACAAAAGAAGACTGGGTAACAAAAAATGTTATTTTCCCTAATTATTAAATTTCTTAATAGGCTGATCTCTAATGCTGGATGACAAGGGTGTTAAGATAAAAGGTAATATGAGGATGATGTAAATCAGGCCCCAAAACAACAAATATTCAAAGACTGTAATGAGTGTTTACTTCTGCTTAACTGCATTATGCTGTTGTCTACATCTTAGGAGCTAATAAGCTACTTTAAAAGTGGTCCCATATTTAAATGGTCTGTAAAGAAAGTGTGGAAGTCTGCGTCTGTTTCAGTGTGAAACACACAGAGCTCAAAGTTAAGTTTTTACTTGTTGTCAGTGATGGAAAAAATACATTTTTAAGGACTTGTGGTGAGCACAAGGTCAGAGATTGTAAGCTTTGTATGCAATCTGTTGAGAATATAAAACAAGGGTTTGGTGTCATTATAGCTTGTACATTACTTTCCCAAAAAAAGTTTAGTTAAAGATATATGATACAAAAACTTCCTGGTGCCTTTGGTGACATTTTTTTGTTTCCATTTTCTTGTAATTCTGAATGATTACATTTTTATTTAAAACAATGAAATGACAGACAAAGCCAACAATCAGATTTGGGTGTTGGGATCAGGTTCTAGACAACCAGCAGCCCTCTGGGGGCCTCCAACCCCAGCAGATTTGTGTTTTAGCAGCCAATATATTTCACTCTCTTTGGATTTTTGCAGTTTCAGTTGTGATGATCACTCACTAAAAATAAACATAACTATTGATGTATTTTGCTTCTTTACCATTTCTCTATGTTTAGAATACAACTACACTACACAGGCTGCCAGAGAATATTACCGTCAAAATAATGAACAAGTCTGAGGTAACTTTGTGAAACATTGTTTAAAAACTAGAAAATGTCCAAATGTATTTAAGTTTATGTTGGAGTGACTTATATTTGGTTAATGATAAATGTGCCCTTTCATTGCAGGACATCATTGTATGTAGTTTAACGGAAGCCAAAGACTGTGATAACAAAAAAGAAGAAACCTGCTTTCTACGGGACTGTTTTAAGGACGAGAATAACATGGCAAGGAAACAAAAATCTCTTCTTCTTAAAGTTTTGTTTTTTCTACTCCTGCTCAGGTTAAACAAGGAATATATCTGATAAACATGTTGTTTGTCCTGCAGGACTATAAACCGCCATGTAACGAGACGGATGAGAACATCAGTGTCCCTTTCTACCACTTCATGTGCTTGACAAATATAGCCAAGGGTCTACGAGGTATCGCCTCATTTTGATACTTGTCTAACATTCAGCTGTGGTTAGTTTAAAGACTTGCTGCTTGAATGTCTTTGTGAGAAGCAACACTGTGACACCGACTGTTGTAACGAGCTTAGACGTTTTAGAAATTCAGAGGAAGAAAAGGAGCAGGTCTTCCTCAAACCGTAAAATGTGGATCTCCTACAATAAACCTAAAATGAACTTCTGGTTCTTACTGCTAACATTTTTCTTCTTTTTCACCAAAGACAAAACAAATGGAGGATCACAAAAACCCACTGCAGAAGACATCTGTAAAGTGTACGGTAAGTACACATACACAGGTCTATGGTCACTGATTTCTATGACCGATTCGATTCCCATTCACAAGGTTTCGATTCGATTTCAATCGGGGAAATTTTGCCTCAGACAGTCAGAAATATTATAATTCTGATCACGTATCAGTACTGACACTTGTGAGACTTTATCAAAGGTGTAACCATCACAGCAGATGCCTTTGTAGTAACTGAGGATGAAACAGAAAAAACATGAAGGTGATTTTCCTGGCCTGTTTTTTATTTATTTATTTATTTTTATAGCAGATAACCCTAAAAATATTCTGCAGTTGAAACTGAACTCAGCATATGAACATTACCTGATGCTGCTGAGCAAAGTTACAGAGGTGTTATCAGAGACATAGCTAAGAGATTTGCAATTTGGTATAATTTTAAAAAGTTTACATTTCTTTAAACTTTCTTGTCACAGGTAATTTTTGAACAAACAAAACGGCAGTGCAGTGCTGTGCACAACAGTAGACTAAAAAGCAAGCAAATAATGCAGAAAACAGAAATTTGAGATGGGAAACTGTCCTCGAAGTACACAGACGATGTTTATCAAATGTGAAGCGTAGTTTTGATCTTCTTTTCCTGCTGGTTCAGTGAACTTTGGAGAGTGATGAAACCTGCAGCATCAGAATCTGTGACATGTCGGGTTTCAGCCCCGACAGCGTGTCTGCGTTCGTGCCGTCGGATGAGAAAGCCGACATCTCACAATTCTGATGCGTCGGGTCGGCGCTTTGTATTTACGTCATTGTAAGCATGTGTGTCCATGCTGCTATTGTGTCTGCCGGTGTGGAGATGTGTGTACAGGTACTGAAACCTACATCCACATTTTCTGTTGTTTTGTTTCGGTTTTAAACAATGTGTGACTGGGATGTTTTACAGTGTGTTGACTTTAAAATTCACAACCTTGTCTCCATATTTTTCTCTTTTCTTTTTTGTTTAGAAAAAGTGTGTAAGCGAGATTCTCCCAACCCAGGTAGGAAACACATTTTATTTATTAATGCTGAAACAGTGCATGTGTGTGTTTTGCTTCTAGCTGATGTCAGATCCTAGAAATTTACTTTAAAAAAAAAAAAAAATCCTAAAAATACCCAGTTGACCATCATACAGCCATAAACTTTATATTTGATCAAGATTAGCCATTAAAAGCAGAAAAACGACAACAAAGTGTGTTCTCCGTGTTTGACTGAACAAGAAATTTCTTTTCACTTCTAAAAGAGGATGCACACACATACAGTGCGACTTATATTTTTCATTTTATTGGAAAAGATGAATATTTGTTTTTCTATTTTGGAAATTGCTGTTTAGCAGATGGAAAAAAAAAGACATTTTTTCCAGTGCTTGGCAGCTGCTGCTGTCTTTCTATTCTTTGCCCAAAAATGAGATTAAAAGCAGTCAGACTCCATCCAATGGAGGTTGTTGGGTCTAAACTCAGACCCATCCAGTATCCAGGACTTATTCCCGTGGAAAAAAAAAAAAACAAGGCAAAAGCGATCGATCGTTTCACTTGCACTTTCTGATTAGGTGCCCCAAATCTGGCCTCCTCTCGCTGCTTTTTATTGAGAAACAGTTCACACAAAACACATCACAGCAAAGCAACGTCCACGTGGTTCTAAGACAAGGGTGGGTGTGTGTGTGTGTGTGTGTGTGTGTGTGTGGGTGGGGACAGTGGAATTCTTTCATCAGAGTTGGCAAGCATAAAAATGACAACATAACAATTCACGCTAACAGAGGTATATTCAAGAAAAATGTTTAAAGAAACCTCTAAGTTTCTTTTTTGTTTTTTTTATTTTGTTTTTGTTTTATGTAAATATCCTGACTTTAAAGAAACTTTGAGTTTCACACATGGACGAAATACATATTTGATCATATTTCCTAAGCTTTATCTGTTAAGATTAACATTTGGAAACATTTCAGTATTTTGCAAGTAAGCTTTTCTGTGTTTTGAGCTAGAGAACACCAAACTGTTGTAAAGCAGCTAAATAAACATTTTGTAATAGAAAATTCACAAATTTACAAAAAGTCATTTGTAAAACAGTGTCATGTTTTAAATGTACTGGTCAGTGTGCAGCCCTTCACAGAAAGGTCCTCTGTGTGGTCCCTACAGACGGGTATACAGGAAAATCTCAGGCAGTTTCTGAAGTTCTCACACCAACCTGTTAAATCACCCAGTGATTTAGAATCTTAATAATTAATTTGGAAACGGTCTGAAATTTCCCCCAAAATGTATTTTTATGACCACTAACATAATTAATGTATGACAAACTCTAAATACTTAAGTTTTCTGTACCTTTAAAATCCCTGTGATTACATTTATTAAACCACCTTTATGTTTACTCAATCCACCACCAACATCAGCAGCAAAAACGACAACACCAACAGCCTGTACTGCTACAACAACAACCACACAAGCAACAACAAATAAGACGACAGCGACACCTTCTGCAACTGCAACCACAGAAGCAACAACAAATAAGACGACAGCGACACCTTCTGCAACTGCAACCACAGAAGCAACAACAAATAAGACGACAGCGACACCTTCTGCAACAGCAACCACAGAAGCAACAACAAATAAGACGACAGCGACACCTTCTGCAACAACAACCACAGAAGCAACAACAAATAAGACGACAGCGACACCTTCTGCAACAACAACCACAGAAGCAACAACAAATAAGACGACAGCGACACCTTCTGCAACAACAACCACAGAAGCAACAACAAATAAGACGACAGCGACACCTTCTGCAACTGCAACCACAGAAGCAACAACAAATAAGACGACAGCGACACCTTCTGCAACTGCAACCACAGAAGCAACAACAAATAAGACGACAGCGACACCTTCTGCAACTGCAACCACAGAAGCAACAACAAATAAGACGACAGCGACACCTTCTGCAACTGCAACCACAGAAGCAACAACAAATAAGACGACAGCGACACCTTCTGCAACTGCAACCACAGAAGCAACAACAAATAAGACGACAGCGACACCTTCTGCAACAACAACCACAGAAGCAACAACAAATAAGACGACAGCGACACCTTCTGCAACAGCAACCACAGAAGCAACAACAAAAAACCCACAAGTCTCAACAACAGCAGTTTCAACAATAACAACTCCATCATCCCCGTTGAATTTGCAACAGAAGGATGGTAAGTTACGTCAGTGATTAATGATCATTCTGACAACGTATTCAGCTGCAGCTGAATCAACCATCCAGTAAAGAGAATTGCATAGCATGCATAGCTAATGTCCAGGTAAGGGTAATAATAATAAAAACTTTTGTGAAAAGATATTGCACTACTAGTTAGGATAAATGGCCTGTATTTATATAGCGCTTTACTAGTCCCTAAGGACCCCAAAGCGCTTTACACACCCAGTCATCCATCCATTCACACACACATTCACACACTGGTGATGGCAGCTACATTGTAGCCACAGCCACCCTGGGGCGCACTGACAGAGGCGAGGCTGCCGGACACTGGCGCCACCGGGCCCTCTGACCACCACCAGTAGGCAATGGGTGAAGTGTCTTGCCCAAGGACACAACGACCGAGACTGTCCAAGCCGGGGCTCGAACCGGCAACCTTCCGATTACAAGGCGAACGCCCAACTCTTGAGCCACGATCGCCCATAATGTTTTCTTCTTCATTTTTAAAAGATACTTTCCTGAATTTTGCTAATGAAATTACTTTATTTGAAAGTCTCTTTAATCTGAAAGACCAGCAGTTTCATACCTTATGCTCTTGGCCATTGTAAGGAATGAGAGTTAAAGGCACTTTGTTGCACTTTTTTTTTTTCTTTTTTAAACACTGCCCCTGTCAGCACCAGAAATTTGCTATGCAAAACTCTATGCTGCACCAATCTGTTGTGTTGTCATTCTTGATTGTTGGAATGTCTCAAAGTTTAAAAACAACAACAACAATAAAAATTCTGACTATCAAACACTGCTGAAAAAAATTTAGCAATATGATTTTTTCCTTAAGATCACAAAGGGGAAGATTTTTGTTGGAAATTTATACTGACAAGAACTGGATAATGTGTCAGGAATGAATGGACAACCTACAGAGGGCTGAATTCAAAGTAGGTCTGAAAATCAAAGTAAAATATGATACAGCAGCCCGTTTTGCTGAAATTTCATTGCAGTACCATTGATTGATTGAATCTTTATTTTGAACATGTTGAAAAAGTACAACAAAATAGAATTAAAAGAGACAAATGAACAAAGCAAAACAAAAGGAAAACGAGCAACCACAACTCCAAATAACTTTCATGTTCAAAAAGGAGCAGGAAGAAGCATAAGCTTATTTAATTCCACCCCTTTTCCACTATCTAGTATCAATAGATTACAGAAATACCTCCTTGCAATTACATTATATGTCATGTGTATTTTTTTTATATATATAGAAACGTGTGTGTGTGTGTGTGTGTGTGTGAGACGCGCGCACACACATGAAAATATTAGACAAGAACATCCTATCAAATCTCTACCTTTTCCCTGTACCCTGTAAAAACCATATCCTTAAACCGCTTTTTAAACTGCGCCATGCTTGGACATTGCTTCATATCTTTACTTAGTCTGTTCCACAGCTTCACTCCACACACAGAGATGCAAAAACTTTTTAATGTACGGATACGAGGATGTTTTAAATTTAATTCCCCCCTCAAATTGTATCCCCGTTCCCTTTTAGAAAACATTTTTAGAATATTGTCAGGAAGCAGGTTATTTCTTGCTTTATATATAATTTGTGCAGTGAGAAAATGAACCAGATCTGTGAATTTTAGAATTTTTGATTTTAAGAATAGTGGATTTGTATGATCTCTGTAACCAGTTTTATGGATTATCCTTATGGCCCTTTTTTGTAATATAAAGATTGATGATAGCGAACATTTGTAAGTATTGCCCCAAACCTCTGCACAGTAATTCAAATACGGTGCAATCAGGGAACAATAGAGAATGTGGAGTGATTTGTGGTCCAGAATGTGTTTTACTTTACTCAAGATTGAGACACTTCTTGAAATTTTGTTATGTATATGATTTATGAGACTTCCAGTTTAATTTATCATCTATAATCACACCAAGAAACTTATGTTCAAGTACTCCTTCAATTTCCACACCATCTAAATGAATCTGCACTTGTGCATTTCTAAGGGAATTCCCAAATAAGATTATTTTAGTTTTACTTGGATTTAGCGATAGTTTGTTCCTGTTAAACCACTTTTTAATTTTGCACATTTCTGAAGTAATTGTATCCAGCAGCTCCTTTAGATTCCCCCAGAACAAAAAATATTTGTGTCATCTGCAAATAATACTAATTTTAATATATCAGATGCCTTACAAATATCATTTATATAAATAATAAATAATTTTGGACCCAGTACAGAGCCTTGTGGAACACCACAAGCAATGTCCAAGCATGATGAGGAATCAGAATCAGAATACTTTATTCATCCCGAGGGAAATTAGGGTTACAGCAGGCAGCACGCTAATGGCGCATGCGCACTTACAAAGGAACCTTCTGACCAACTTTACACAAACATCACATTGGGCAGACATGTCAGAAAGGTAGGCTGATAGGAAAAAAAAACAACGAAAATACATAACATGAGGTAAGAGGAGGAGAAAAAAAAACTCCACTCAGACTGAGCTCCTAGTGGGAGAACAGTTTGATAACAGAAACACCTCAGCACAAAAGCACATGACTATCAATACACCATAGAAACACAAGACAAGCAACAGGGGCGGGTAAAGGGTAAGAGAGAGCCGGTGTAGACAGCGCATCCGGTCCTGCAGCATCTGTGCTGGTCCAGTTGACTGCTATCTTCCCCGGGAGGGCACAAGCATCGAAGGCGTTGGAAAGGGAGGGGGGATGAGTGAGTGCTTATCAGTGTAAGTGTGTGTGTGTGTGCGTGTCCATAGTTTAGCTGAGACAGTGTCCTTCGGCCTATCAGGCTAAGTAAACAGTCCTCCAGCCAATCCAGGTGTCCTTGCATGGGATGGGAAGAATAGCCGTAACACAGTCGTTATCAGGGAGTGATTGTTCGGCTCCAGCCTTGGGCCTGCAGCTGGCGCCGTGATGGGGATCCGCAATGTTTATGTTGGTTTTGTTAATTTCCGTTGGAGAGTCGCGAGCCTCCCCATGATGGTATCAAACTTCTGTTCCATGGTGTTATCATTCTTTTGATTCTGAGACCTCACAACTGCAGTGATCCGTTCCGCGATGTTTTCCAACTGTCGCTCAAGGGTCTCATTCTGAGCAGGCCTCTCTCTGATGTTTCCCCTCATACGCTCAATGGTGTTGTTTTGAGCCTTCACAGCAGCTGCAAGCGTCTCCAAGGTGTTGACCATATTACGTTCGTTGTGAGAGGTTGCGCCTCATTCCATTTCGATTCCAGCGGGCAGCCTTGGGGGGGTTTGAACAGCCGGTTCCGCTCTCTTATTTCTCCGATAAACCAGGGCTAAGCCAACTCCGATCAGCATGAACCCTGTTATCATGGTTCCGAATAGATAGATATCTTCAGCGTCCTCGATCGACAGTCCCGCCAGGCACATGATCCTCCAGTTCTGCCACCCGTCCATCGTGTATCCGGCAGGGAAAGTCCCTCCAGGGCACTCAGGCTCTCCCGAGCCCAGATTTCTCGTTGAGAAAAGGGTGTCAATAGCATTCAGAGACCAGTTGATCAAATAAATAATTTTTCACCCATTGCAGTACAACCCCCCTGATCCCGTACCGTTCCAGTTTATTAATTAATATGTCATGATTGATTGTGTCGAATGCTTTCTTGAGATCCAGAAATACTCCAGCTGCATACTGTTTCTGATCTATAGCATTCGTAATCTCCTCAATTGATCCGATTAATGCCAGAGATGTTGATCTTTTTGATCTGAATCCATATTGACTGTCAGAGTAATTTATATTTATCTAAGAATTTGTCTAATGTTTATTAAACAGGTTTTCTAGGATTTTGGAGAATTGTGGTAGTAAAGAAACAGGCCTGTAATTTGTGAAGTGGCGTCTATCCCCGGTTTTATACAGCGGCACAACTTTAGCTATTTTCATTTTGTTTGGCACTTTTCCGTCTGAAATGATAAGTTGCAAATATATGTTAGAGGTCCTACAATTCCTTCAATCACCTTCTTGACGATTTTCATGTCAATATCATTACAATCAGTAGATGTTTTATATTTGCACATGTGTACAATGTCAATTATTTCTTTTTCCTCCACTGATGTGAGGAACATTGAGTTCCTATCAATCAGGTTTTCACTACAGTCTACTGATGGCAGTGACTCAGGAATTTGTTCACCACCCCAATGCGTTTGTCAGTCTCTCAGTTTCCTCTCCACTCACTCGTGAACAAGACCCTAAAACCTGCACTCATTGGTGAAAAATACAGGGCGCCAGTGGTGAACCTGCCAGTTCTGGTATTTTATAAATTCGGGCCCTCAGACCATGAAGTCTGTTTCTGATTGTTTGGTTAGAGACATTCACACCAGTGGCCTGCTCGAGATCATTATGTAGCCTAGCAGTGCTCATCTTGTTCCTCCTTGCACAAAGGAGCAGATACCGGTCACGCTGATGGGTTAAGGACCTTCTAAAATCCTGTCGAGCTCTCTGAGTAACTACCTGTCGTAGAATCTCCTCTATGCTCTTGAAACTGTGCTGGGAGAGACGGAAAACCTTCTGGACTATCTGTGTGACCTCTGTAGGGTTCAGGCATCCCATCACGCTACCAGTAATGACACTGGCCCCAGTCAAATGCAAAACTAGCGAAAAGCAGTCAGAAAAGATAAGGAGGGAAAAAGGTCAGTGTCCTCCAGCTGTGCAACCATTCCTTTTTGTCTCGTTGTTGCCCCTCTAGTGCATTGTGGATTTCATTAACACCAAAGCAGCTGAAAATGACTAACAACCTCCTCTGCTACTTTCCTGACCACAACAATGTCCCACAAGTTTAACTGTCTTGATGCTGTACTCGGATTAAAAAGGGTTTTTTGCTGTTGTACTTATACAGTCTTTTCTTTCTTTCACAGAAACATTGCAGGGCGAAAGTAAGTTTTTACTGAAATAAACAAAGAATGTAGTTCATAGTTATACTATATTACTAGTATAGTTTTTCCTGACTTTGTTTTTGTTTTTGCTCTGATGTAATGTGTTCAATTGCATTGCTCTCATACAGTCTTTCCTTTCTTCCATAGGTGCTGGAAAAAAAGCGCGCAGTAAGCTTGTTTTATTCGTAACTTTTTCTTACTTCAGTAAAATGTATATGGACAATTTTGTTGTAGTACCAAACATGCTTTAATGAAACTGGTGAATTCAAAAAGCGATCCGCCACTTTGGAAAAAAAAAAAAAATCATTCTTAAACTAAAAATAATTTTTTAAATAATAAAACTAATTACAGAATTTTGCACTTGACGATGCTCAATCATCCAGGTAAGTAAATCACCAAAAGTTGATTCTGTTCATCTGGACGTAGCGTCCTGCCAAAGCAAAAACCTGTAGTGATCCCGTACGTGTCAGGAGTATTGGAGAAGTTGAGATGCATTTTTTTCTAAACACCGGGTCTCTGTGGCTTTTAAACCCCAAAACACGCTGCGCCAAAAATTGGTCCACCCCAAGGATCGGTCCCTCGACACAGAGTAACATAGTGTACGCTGTTAAGTGCAGGAGGATTGTCAGGATTTATACATCGGGGAAACCAAACAACCTCTGGCTAAGAGGATGGCACAACACAGAAGAGCTACCTCGTCAGGCCAGGACTCTGCAGTCTTTACACCTACAGGCCAGTGGACACTCAATGATGAGGATGTAACATCCTGGACAGGGAGGAACGCTGGTTTGAGCGCGGAGTCAAGGAGGCCATCTACGTGAAAAGGGAAAGACCGTTTCTCCCACAAATGCTACGTTCAGATGATCAGAATCCACTTTTGGAGATTTTGCACCATATTTTAGCGCTTTAAAAAAGCGCAACTATACAGTGTGTACTATATCTATTAAATATAGACATAGTCTAGTTAAATATAAAAAGTTTTCTAGGCCCTTTTTTGGAGCCTTTTCTGTTAGAGCACAAGTTTCTTAGTAGCCCAACAATTTTTATTCATGCATAAATATGTGTTATCAAGGGACTGTTATTTTGAACTTAATAGATATTCAATCTCTTCTTAAACAGTCCTACACATTATAATAGGTGTCCTTACCTTCACCAACTTCCTTTGGGCGGTGGCTTTTTACATGTACACGCAGAGGCTTCAAAGGAGTAATGAGGTGAGTGGGAGCTCAGATGTGATTGTTGCTTAAAGCAGAGATGTAAGGATGTCCAACTACACATTTAATCCATATTTAATACACTCAACAAAAATATAAACACAACACCTTTGTTACTGCTCCCATTCCCCATGGGATGGACGTAGAGACCTAAAATTCATTCCAGATACACAATATAACCATCCCTCCCAAACAGTGGTCACAAATCAGTCCAAATGTGTGGTAGTGGGCACATCTGCTATATTGAGATAATCCATCCCACCTCACAGGTGTGCCACATCAGGATGCTGATCTGACATCATGAGTAGTGCACAGGTGTACCTCAGACTGCCCACAACAAAAGGCCACCCTGGAATGTGCAGTTTTTTTGCGCTATTGGGGGTCTGGGGACCCAGAACCGGTCAGTATCTGGTGTGACCACCATTTGCCTCATGCAGTGCAACACATCGTCGCATGGAGTCTATCAGATTGTCAATTGTGGCCTGTGGAATGTTGGTCCACTCCACTTCAATGGCTGTGCGAGGTTGTTGGATATTCGTGGGAACTGGTACACGCTGTCGTATACGCCGGTCAAGCACATCCCGAACATGCTCAATGGGTGACTTGTCCGGTGAGTATGCTGGCCATGCAAGAACTGGGACATTCTCAGCTGCCATCTGCCCTGAACAATGTGAACCATGATTCATCCGTGAAGCGCACACCTCTCCCAACGTGCCAGACGCCATCGAATGTGAGCATTTGCCCACACAAGTCTGTTACGGCGACGAGCTGGAGTCAGGTCAAGACCCCGATGAGGACGACGGGCATGCAGTTGAGCGTCCCTGAGACGGTTTCTGACAGTTTGTGCAGAAATTGTTTGGTTGTGCAAACCAATTGTTCCAGCAGCTGTCTGGGTGGCTGGTCTCAGACGATCTTGGAGGTGAACCTGCTGGATGTGGAGGTCCTGGGCTGGTGTGGTTACACGAGGTCTGCGGTGGTGAGGCCGGTTGGATGTGCTGCCATATTCTCTGAAACGCCTGTGGAGACGGCTTATGGTTGAGAAATGAACATTCAATGCACGGGCGACAGATCTGGTTGACATTCCTGCTGTCAGCATGCCAATTGCACGCTCCCTCATTGCTTGTGGCATCTGTGGCATTTTGCTGTGAGACAAAACTGCACATTCCAGGGTGGCCTTTTGTTGTGGGCAGTCTGAGGTACACCTGTGCACTACTCATGATGTCAGATCAGCATCCTGATGTGGCACACCTGTGAGGTGGGATGGATTATCTCAATATAGCAGATGTGTCCACTGCCACACATTTGGACTGATTTGTGACCACTGTTTGGGAGGGATGGTTATATTGTGTATCTGGAATGAATTTTAGGTCTCTACGTCCATCCCATGGGGAATGGGAGCAGTAACAAAGGTGTTGCGTTTATATTTTTGTTGAGTGTATAAAAATAGTGCAGTTTCAACAGTATTCTCTCAGTTTTTCTAAATCATAAACAAATGCTGCTATAGTACATGAAAGAAATCTTCCAGCATGGCTAAATGTGTAAAATTACAGAAAAAAGGAGAATAATTCCCATAAATTCACATAAAATTCCAGTTTTTCAAATAAACGGTCTTCCTTTGTGGAATTGAAATTTACAGTAATACTGAAAAGGAGGAAATTTGATGTTTTGTTTTTTTAATGGTTATTATTGAACTCTTATCTAATTACTTTGTTTTGTGTATTATGATAGCAAGGTCTTTATCAGTAGAGAAAATTGTGAAAAGCTATGACAATACAGTAAAACGTCAGAAATCTGAAACTTCTCCATGTGTGTGATACCTGTGGCTTAAAGAATACAAGGGTAGGGCTGGGCCATATCATACCGTTCACGGTAACATCGGTATAATGTTGGGCAACGATAAGAAAATATCGCGATAGAATATGGGTGAAACACGCATGTGCAGTGCCTTTTGTTTTCATACGCACATGGCGGAAAAAGCATGGCGGCGACGGAGAATGAGAAGAGCGAAAGCGGATTGATGAATGAAACCAGAACTGGGGCCCGTTCTTCGTACGTCGCTTACTACATCCAAGATCAAATGACACATCCAAGACCAAACCATCGCGCTAACCGTGAGCTCGCCAATCCGGTTCCCCGAACACACCTGCTGTTGACGATCAGTACAGTTGGATGAAGTAATGTGAGATCACTGGGTGCCGTAAAAGGGGCTACGCATCGATAGTAGAAACATTGATCGGCAACCCTCTGATTGGTCGGCGAAAATGTCGAAGGAGCGCGCTCGGTATTTTTCGGCAGCAGAGCAAGAACTCTTGAGTGAGGGATTTCAGGAGTTTCAGAGTTTAATTAAAACGCAAGGGAACACTGCAAAGGCTGCAAAAGCAAGGAGAGAGGGCTGGCAGAAAGTTGCTGACAAATTAAACTCGTAAGTAATTTAATAATAATAATAATAATAATGGATTGGATTTATATAGCGCTTTCCAAGGCACCCAAAGCGCTTTACAATGCCACTATTCATTCACTCTCACATTCACACACTGGTGGAGGCAGCTACAGTTGTAGCCACAGCTGCCCTGGGGCAGACTGACAGAAGCCAGGCTGCCATATTGCGCCATCGGCCCCTCTGGCCAAAACCAGTAGACGGTAGGGTAGATTTATTATATTATATTATATTACATTATATCATATTATATTACATTATATCCTCTTTCACATTAGAGCCACGACAGGACCCACTAGCACATGGGAACAAGTAAAAGTGAAATATACGAATATTCTACAGAATGGTAATATTTATCACTTATATTGCTTTTCGTCTCTTGAAAAGAGACCCTGAAATAATCTGTTTGTTTGTTCATAACAGCAACCAAGAAAAGGGCAGAGCAAAAAAAGACAGGTGGTGGTCCTGCACCCCCTCGTCAACAAGTTATCAATATCTCTCTATGAGCACACTGTCGCGCTGAGCTAAAGGATCCTGTCTGTCCCGCAATATACGCTGAATTCTGAGGACTCTCCTTATCAATCTTGCACCTTCCGCAATGGGTTGCTCGCGTAAACGGACAGGACATGGCTGCGACAGGCTTCCCAAATCCCCCTTCGCTTTTATAGCCGTGGTCTCCCATCTTGATTACACAAAGTAATTTACTATTACTACTCTGAAATATGAATTACATCTGTAATAATCACATACATGTAATAGAATGTTAATAGTACATTTCCCTTTTTTAGGAAATGACCTGTATGTATCTGTATGAAATCAATAAATGGATCAAGTGCTGCAGGATCAAGTACTGCATTATCTTTAGTTACATTGATAATATTTATTTATGGTGAAACAGTGGTGGAATATCGCTGTTGCTTTCGTATAAATGAAGCGGACATACCTGCGTGGCCGCGATCTAATCCTGTTTACATAAAGTGAACCTGCTCCCGAGCAGGTTTACGCTTACGGCTCTGTTGCTATGGCAGCAAGTCCCGGATGAGCTTCGGGGAACCGAACGATCCAAGATCACACGAAATCGTCAACAATCAAATCCAGCTAACTTACTTAGCGAGGTACGAAGAACGGGCCCCAGGTTTGTAAAAATGCTGCAGCTTCACTGGTGTGGAACTGGTTCAGCTTTCGTCCGTCAGATACACAACAAAGCACTATTTTTGGTAGCGCATGCTAGCGGGCCGTCGTTATTACCGTGTTGTTTTGAAAATACGGCACACTTAAAATCAATCCTTTGATTTTTCTGAAAGTCGACAGAGCCCCTTATAATCCCGTGTGCCTTATGTATGAACTCTGGTTGTGTTTACTGACCTCGAAACGATTTTATGTGCACGGCGCTCGAAAATCTGTCAAATGTTTCAGTACGACTTTGCTAAGCTACGAAGCCGCACCGCTTGATGGATTGCCGGAGCATTACGGCTATCGTAGGCGGAGCGATGCGTACTGTGCTTCAACATAATATTACTGTATTGTGTGTGTGTGTGTGTGTGTGTGTGTGTGTGTATAAGCTCTTTTTAAGTTTTGTGGATATTATACATGGTTATGCTGAGGATATGTCGGCCAGTTTCCACTGGAAATGCCTTTTGGTTAAACTGTCAGCGAGGAATTTGCATTTGCACTTATAAATTTTTACATAACTTGGACATAAAAAACAGCTGCTTGTTTAAGTGAAAATCATTGGGGTTTTTTTTTTGTTTTTGTTTTTTTGCTTGCACTAATAAAGTTGTGGAGTTGTAAAGAATTTTGTCTCGTGTCAATTATATTGTCAGTTATATCGTTATCTCAAATTTTCAAAAGTATATCGTGATAAATATTTTAGGTCATATCGTCCTGCTCTATACAAGGGTATAGCAGCATTTACCCAGACATATTGTTATTCATCAGAATCAGAAGATCAATTCCTGTATAATTTCTGTGAGAACATGACAGAGTATGTGTTAAACTTTACGTAATAGCAAATTTGTCACTTTGATGAGGAAATTAACTTTGACTTTGGCTTCTGTCTCATTTCTACTTCAGATTCCAAACTTGAAAGAAGAAGAGGCGATGACAGTGGTACAGATATTTTTTTAAGACTGTGGATGCTACTGATGGATGCTACACTGTGACTGAAGCTCGGAGAATTAGGATCCAATTAAAGTTGCAGTTATTTGAAAGCATGAAGTGAGAGGGGTGGGCTCTTGCATGTCTCTATTATAAGGGGGGGATCTGAATATCACATATCACAAATATTTATGAAAGGATTTTCATGAAAGCCTAGTCGCTGTGCTCGATGGAATGAAGTTTAAACTAGATTTTGAATGACAAATGCAGATAATGGAAAATAAAGGTGCAAACAAACTCAGATTTCAGTGACAAACCTTTCAACCACAGTGTAACAGCTCGTGTTTACTTAGGACATTGTCTCTTTAATATAATTTTTAATATACTTTGAAATGTTTTCAACTCAGCTATTTGTGACTGAGTCTTTATTATAGTCTTACTTGCTAATGAATTTCAGTAATAAGAACAACAGAAGTGATTTGTCTGTTTCTTAACATTTGTGGAGTCCACTTTGTGTTAAACCCTGGTCAGGGTGTTTGTGCTTTAACAGTATTATTTTCTTCTCTTTTTAGCGTAACACATTTCGCAGCGACATTGGAGAGGGTTCCATTTTATTAATGGTAATTTTTTACTATACTACTACTTTCATAAACGGTGCCTTTTAAAAGACTTAATGTTTCACACACGTGGTTTCCTTGACTGATGGTTGAATTAGACCAGAATGGATTATAAAACAAACAGAAACGCAGCCTTGACTGATTTAATAATAAGTTTGCTTTTTTGTCAGAAGGCATCAAGTTGTAGCTACTAAAATGTTCTTTTCCAACAGCTCTTGAAAAAGAATAATAATCCAGGTCTGTTTGTGTGCTCCATACTGGACTTCTCTCTGCTGGGAAGAAACACACAGTTCACTGGGATAAATTTCTTTTGCAAGGAGCTGAAAAGAGAAGTGATTTTCTTTCTTTCTTTTTCCTTTTTTTTGTGGCTAACAATTTTATGTTGAAAAGAAATTACCTGTTTTTTGCATTGGGAAATTCAGTAATACACCATTCAGAAATTATCCCTTTTGCAAGTTTTTTACTAGTGTCTGTACAAATATGGGACATACAGGGAGTGCAGAATTATTAGGCAAGTTGTATTTTTTTTAGGAATAATTTTATTATTGAACAACAACCATGTTCTCAATGAACCCAAAAAACTCATTAATATCAAAGCTGAATGTTTTTGGAAGTAGTTTTTAGTTTGTTTTTAGTTTTAACTATTTTAGGGGGATATCTGTGTGTGCAGGTGACTATTACTGTGCATAATTATTAGGCAAGTTGTATTTCTGAGGAATAATGTTATTATTGAACAACAACCATGTTCTCAATGAACCCAAAAAACTCATTAATATCAAAGCTGAATGTTTTTGGAAGTAGTTTTTAGTTTGTTTTTAGTTTCAGCTATTTTAGGGGGATATCTGTGTGTGCAGGTGACTATTACTGTGCATAATTATTAGGCAACTTAACAAAAAACAAATATATACCCATTTCAATTATTTATTTTTACCAGTGACACCAATATAACATCTCCACATTCACAAATATACATTTCTGACATTCAAAAACCAAACAAAAAAAATCAGCGACCAATATAGCCACCTTTCTTTGCAAGGACACTCAAAAGCCTGCCATCCATGGATTCTGTCAGTGTTTTGATCTGTTCACCATCAACATTGCGTGCAGCAGCAACCACAGCCTCCCAGACACTGTTCAGAGAGGTGTACTGTTTTCCCTCCTTGTAAATCTCACATTTGATGATGGACCACAGGTTCTCAATGGGGTTCAGATCAGGTGAACAAGGAGGCCATGTCATTAGTTTTTCTTCTTTTATACCCTTTCTTGCCAGCCACGCTGTGGAGTACTTGGACGCGTGTGATGGAGCATTGTCCTGCATGAAAATCATGTTTTTCTTGAAGGATGCAGACTTCTTCCTGTACCACTGCTTGAAGAAGGTGTCTTCCAGAAACTGGCAGTAGGACTGGGAGTTGAGCTTGACTCCATCCTCAACCCGAAAAGGCCCCACAAGCTCATCTTTGATGATACCAGCCCAAACCAGTACTCCACCTCCACCTTGCTGGCGTCTGAGTGGGACTGGAGCTCTCTGCCCTTTACCAATCCAGCCACGGGCCCATCCATCTGGCCCATCAAGACTCACTCTCATTTCATCAGTCCATAAAACCTTAGAAAAACCAGTCTTGAGATATTTCTTGGCCCAGTCTTGACGTTTCAGCTTGTGTGTCTTGTTCAGTGGTGGTCGTCTTTCAGCCTTTCTTACCTTGGCCATGTCTCTGAGTATTGCACACCTTGTGCTTTTGGGCACTCCAGTGATGTTGCAGCTCTGAAATATGGCCAAACTGGTGGCAAGTGGCATCTTGGCAGCTGCACGCTTGACTTTTCTCAGTTCATGGGCAGTTATTTTGCGCCTTGGTTTTTCCACACGCTTCTTGCGACCCTGTTGACTATTTTGAATGAAACGCTTGATTGTTCGATGATCACGCTTCAGAAGCTTTGCAATTTTGAGACTGCTGCATCCCTCTGCAAGATATCTCACTATTTTTGACTTTTCTGAGCCTGTCAAGTCCTTCTTTTGACCCATTTTGCCAAAGGAAAGGACGTTGCCTAATAATTATGCACACCTGATATAGGGTGTTGATGTCATTAGACCACACCCCTTCTCATTACAGAGATGCACATCACCTAATATGCTTAATTGGTAGTAGGCTTTCGAGCCTATACAGCTTGGAGTAAGACAACATGCATGAAGAGGATGATGTGGACAAAATACTCATTTGCCTAATAATTCTGCACTTCCTGTATTAAAAAAAAATATATTTTTAACTTGTCAGCACGCAGACATTTTTTTTTTTTTTTTTTTAATGTACCGGTCCCAAATTACAGATCCAGGTTTATTTTGATGGCAAGAAAGGCCACTGAAAATGTTAGTATGTAGTATGTAAAGTATGTGTGATATTTAAAGCTAAAATTCTACAGAATTTGAGACGAATGACTCTTTACCAGTTCAGCCAAGAAGAGGGTTCAAGCATCCAACCATAAGACGGTTCTTGGCTATGAAAAGCACCTGGTTGTTGTGCAACTGGCTAAAGGACATTTACATTAATTGTCACGGTTCTGGGTCAGTTTGACCCAGTATTTTGAGTTGTCATGTTTTTGCAGGTTTAGTTTAGTTCCATGTGTCATTTTCAATTCAATTTCTTTATTGTCCCACAAGGGGAAATTAGTTTAGCAGCAGGAGGATAAGAACAAACAGAACAATACTATAAAACAATAATAACAATATTGTTTTTTCTGTCTGTCTCTGTGTCGAGTCTGCGTCTTTGTGTGATGGTTTCTTGTTCCTGTTTTATTGGGAAGGTCTGAGTCTCGTGTGAGTGTGTGTTCAGTTTTACCTCTGTCTCGTCTTGTTGATTACTCTCAGCTGTGTTCCCCACCTGTGTGTAATCTCCCTGTGTTTCTCTGTGTGTATTTAAGTCGCGTCTTCTGTGTTTGTAGTTGCTGGTCCGTCTGTGTATCCACCATGTCTCACCCATGTGTTCTCCCTGCTGTCCATTGTCATTCTCCTCTGCTCGTTCTCATTCTTGTCCAGGTTTCTGCTCTGTAGTTTAGTTGTTTCCAGTCTAGTTTAGTTCGTGCTCCATTTGCTGTTTGTCTATATTTATTTCGTATATAATAAACCACCCTCACCCCTTTACAAGTGCCTGCTTTTGGATCCTCCTTTATTTCCCACACGGCTCATCTCACTCGCCGTGACATTAATATTAATAGGGGTGGTTGATCTATATATTGGAGCATGCGTGTATAATTCTGACACGGTGCGGATTAGAGAATGTCCAAAATAAATTCAAACATTTGCACCAAATTCTTGTTTTCGTAAAGTTATAAAAGATGTACGCTTTTATAACAGTCCCAAGAAATCCCCAAATTTCCACAACGATGCAAAAAAAAGATTTAGGCCACATGACTGTCAACACAGACATTTTGTTTGACGCATGGATTTTAAATGTACTTTCACTTACTGACTACCTCTATTTCTATTGTATTGTCTGATACATGGAGGTCTAAGCAACAAAACTACTTAGGTTTTGGAAAAGATCACAGTTCAGATACACAGCCCAGGGTGTAAAGCGAGCTCTACTCCGCTCCACTTGAAAGCTTACCCAAAGATATGGACTACGCAGCCATAACTTTTGGACTGATAAGAGCTGACTACAGCCATTCATTCTGCCACAGAGACCCTGGGCATTTTCTCTAACAGGCTGTAAACATACTCAAGGGACCTGATTAGAGCAACTGCAGATTGGGGACTGCAACAGTGGCTTGATTTTTCAGCTGCCTGGGTTAGATCTGTTCTAACCCAGCTTAGCTGTCGCCCCCCTCGTGCATCTACAAGTGTCCAGTCTCAGTTTGTTTCACGAGTCATGCAAACACTTGACTTGATAATACACAGACTAAACACTTCTCTCTTTCTCTTTATCATACAGACACCTGAAAGTTCCATCATCATAAATTCACCTGAAACCACCATAATTGAAAGCCCTTGCCCACACAGAACACATCTTTAGAAGTTCCGGACTGATGAGAAAATCTTTTCTAAATTTGGCCATCGCAGAATCTGGGTACGAGGATCTGCTCTATACAGCTTGTTAACACTCCAGATGAAGAAAAGGTGGTCTGTGAATGACTCTGAGCTCGAAAGGAGGATAAACTTGTGAAGAATGTGAAGAAGAGTGAGACCGAACAAGCCGCAGCATGCCTATTCATGTACCTGCTCTGCAGTCGCAAATCAAGGTTTTGTGGATTACCCCAGCTCCACGTCCAAGCAATAAACTGTCCACCTCATGTAAAATGTTTTACTGCTGTACTGGTTTTAAGTGACCAAGTTCTTGCCAGAAGAACTACACCGGGCTTGTTACATTAGGAATATTGGTGCCGATGAGGGAGTCTGCCGGCATCTAATCCAGCCCAGTCACATGGTTTATTAATTAAACTCCCGGAGAGCAGCCATTTGGCTTTTCTACCTTTAAAACCCAGAGAGCAGCCAAATGGCTTTTAGCTAGGCTTTAGCTTCAGCGAAGTGGAAGCTAAATTGGCTAGTCATTCATATGTAAATTAGGTTGTTACCTGGGAATTCTGGAGGGAGAGGAGTGGGGGTGTGTGGATGAGGGGGTGGGGGAGCTGCTAAAAGCTGTGAACTTCCTTTTGTGTTCGTCTTGATGCATTCTCAATCATCCAGGGAAACAAATCTCCAAAAGTCACCAACTTGGAGTGTTTCAGTTTGCCATCTTAGGGAGAAATCAACACACATGGGTGTATGTTCTTTGTTGCTGAGATTTATTGATAAAAACAGTACAAAAAACCAACCATTTGTACACATATTTACAAATGGCCTGCTGAGTGGTGCACGGAGCATGTTCATTGGTTCATGGACCTCCCTGAACTAATGGCATTTATTGCAATTGTCATCTTGCGGGGGGTTAACAGGGTTCCATCTCTACGTGACTGCTGGTCAGCAAACCTGGGAAACCCACAGATCATTGGAACTATGGCACGAAACCGCTTCCAAGACATCATGCAACACCTACGCTTTGATGACAAGTCCACCCGCAGTGATCGAGCAAAGACTGATAAGTTCGCTGCAATTTCCAGTGTGTGGGGATCATTTGTCACCAACTGCATCACGTGCTACAACCCTGGTCTACATATCACCGTTGATGAACAGCTTTTCCCATCAAAGACTCGGTGCTGTTTCCTGCAGAATATTGCAAGTAAACCTGACAAGTTTGGGATCAAGTTTTGGGTGGCTTGCGACCTAAAATCCAAGTACCATCCAGTACTATCCATTTATCTTATTTCTTAGGTGTTTTCAACCTCTGCTGCCACGCTGACGGCATATGCGGCCAAACGGAAGAAGTCTATATTCTTAGCAGCATGCACAGCGTGGTTCAGACTGATAACACTATCAAAAGGAAGCCAAACACTGTCACCCTTTACAACAAAACAAAGTGTGGCGTGGATGTGATGGACCAGATGGTTCGGGAGTACACTGTCCGCAGAGGAACACGGCGCTGGCCAGTTGCCGTGTTCCTGAAAACACCTAAGAAATAAGATAAATTGTTATTTCCATAGCCCTTTTACACACAATGAAACACATAAACATAGAACCACAAAAGACCTGCAACATACCTGAGTGGTGAATTCATTGCGATCTGTCTAGTGGATTGAGGAATTTTCCTGCGAATCTTGTTGACTGGGCCGAGGATGGTGGTTTTCCGTCTAAGAAGTTTTTGCGCAAGTGAAAGCGATGTGAAAAAATTGTCCGTGGTAACATTTCTGCCCTTGTCTAGGAATGGTTCCATCAGCCTCATTACTACATTGTCAGAAAGTCTCTCCCCAGTGGGACGATTGGGGTCCTTGCCAAGATATGGGAAGACATTGCAAATGTACTTGGATTTTAGGTCGCAAGCCACCCAAAACTTGATCCCAAACTTGTCAGGTTTACTTGCAATATTCTGCAGGAAACAGCACCGAGTCTTTGATGGGAAAAGCTGTTCATCAACGGTGATATGTAGACCAGGGTTGTAGCACGTGATGCAGTTGGTGACAAATGATCCCCACACACTGGAAATTGCAGCGAACTTATCAGTCTTTGCTCGATCACTGCGGGTGGACTTGTCATCAAAGCGTAGGTGTTGCATGATGTCTTGGAAGCGGTTTCGTGCCATAGTTCCAATGATCTGTGGGTTTCCCAGGTTTGCTGACCAGCAGTCATTTAGAGATGGAACCCTGTTAACCCCCCGCAAGATGACAATTGCAATAAATGCCATTAGTTCAGGGAGGTCCATGAACCAATGAACATGCTCCGTGCACCACTCAGCAGGCCATTTGTAAATATGTATACAAATGGTTGGTTTTTTTGTACTGTTTTTATCAATAAATCTCAGCAACAAAGAACATACACCCATGTGTGTTGATTTCTCCCTAAGATGGCAAACTGAAACACTCCAAGTTGGTGACTTTTGGAGATTTATTTCCCTGGATGATTGAGAATGCATCAAGACGAACACAAAAGGAAGTTCACAGCTTTTAGCAGCTCCCCCACCCCCTCAATCACACACCCCCCCTCCCCTCCAGAATTCCCAGGTAACAACCTAATTTACATATGAATGACTAGCCAATTTAGCTTCCACTTCGCTGAAGCTAAAGCTTAGCTAAAAGCCATTTGGCTGCTCTCCGGGTTTTAAAGGTAGAAAGGTAGAAGCCTGGCAGTGCTACTGTTTAAAATAATCAAATTACAGCATTTACATTTATGTTAGACGACTTTTAATTAACTGCTTTGGCCCCACTTACAATGAAAAATTAAAAAATTCTAGTCATTGACCTGTGCAGTATGTTAACACTATTGGAAGTAAAAATAACTTGAACTCCAATTTTGAAAACACAACTGTCTTTCTTTTGTTTGTTTTTTTAATTTTATTTTTTAAATCTCTGACTTGTATTATGAGTCTGTGGTCTGGGAGAGAGTCCTGTAACTCTGTCTGCAAAATACAGTATATAACGACCAATGTTGGGCAATTATTTATATAGTTCTTCAAAAAAAGTAACTGAGTTATGCAAACAAAGTTTTTTGCAGCTTTTTTTTTTTTAATGCAGCCAAGGCGATTTTTTTTTTTCAATAAACATTTCAAACTATTTACAGAACAATCAGCTGTTCTGCATCAAATCTGATGCCACACAAAATTATTTGTGCCACTCCAAAAAAATAATTTCTGTCCACTATGCGATGAAGGAGAACAACAGCCTGATACCTGCAGGCCTGACAGCAGCAGATGTATCACTGCTGTAACACCTGTAACATTCAGCCGTCGCCTCATTGTTCTGACACACACAACGAAACTACACTACACACTAACTACACAAGATTTGCACTAAACGTCTCAAATCTCTCACATCTCAAAACACCGCCGTCACTCCTAAAAATTCACCCCGTTTCTTAACAACTAGATGCCACGTTGCCATATCATTTTTTGATTGGTCGACATGGTACTTTCTTGGACGAATAGGAAAGGAAGAGGGGGGTGGGGTTTGTTTTTGCTCACAGGCTTTCGAGCCTTTTTTCTTATAAAACGCCGTTTTTACCGTTTCTTCCCGCAGCAAATATAAACAATTATAGTATTCAGGAAGAAAAACAAACATTGCCTATTTTTATTTTATTTTTATTTTTTTATCACAACTCTGGTTTTACGTGGCCGATCAACACAATTTAAAAACTGGTATAAAGTCCACACTTTTTCAGTCTGTTGTTCCGTCTGTCCTGCTCACATCTCCAATGGTTGTACACGTTGTCATTAACGTGGCTTCACTCCACATCAGCCGCTTTGCTAAAACACCGGTGTCGGCACATAAGGACGCTGTCATAGCCTGTCAATGACGTTGATTGGCTGCGTATATACGCATTATTGGCTGAACTATGGGATAAGTTGGCATCGTTCTAATCCCAAATGGGAGCAGCCAGTCACTCACTAACACTGCAAAACAGGATTGTTGAAGTATTAATTTTAATTTCAATTCAGGTTAGATTTTTTTTTTTTTTTGTGCGCAACGCAGATTTTATGTGCACAGAGACTGTGCCAGCAGTGCGCAATTGCGCACATGAGCAGCTTAGAGGGAACATTGGCCCTGACATTGTTCACGCCTACTGGCTGAAGAAGCTGACTGCACTCCACGAGCACCTGAATGAATAATGAACCAGCTGCTAGTTAACGAGAGACACCCGGAATGGCTAACCGAAGGCCGGACAGTCCTGATACTCAAGGACCCCCAGAAGTGACCAGTCCCCTCAAACTACCGACCAATAATCTGCCTCAGCACCACGTGGAAACTCCTATCAGGCATCATGGCGGCTAAGATGAACAGGCACATGGGTCAATACATGAGCGGGGCACAGAAAGGGATGGGCAAGAATACCAGAGGCGCAAAACGCCAGCTACTGGCAGACCAAGCAGTCAGCCGAGACTGCAAGACCAGACTGACCAACCTGTGCACTGCCTGGATTGATTACAAGAAGGCCTATGACTCAATGCCCCACAGCTGGATCCTGGAATGCCTAGAACTATATAAGATCAACAGGACCCTGAGAGCCTTCATCAGGAACTCAATGGGGATGTGGCGGACATACTCAAGCCCATAGCACAAGTCACCATCAAGTGCGGGATCTACCAAGGAGATGCTCTGTCCCCACTGCTGTTCTGCATAGGCCTGAACCCCCTCAGTGAGATCATTAACAATACTGGCTATGGATACAGACTACGGAATGAAGCAGTTGTCAGCCACCTCCTGTACATGGATGACATCAAGCTGTATGCCAAGAGTGAACGAGACATCGATTCACTGATCCACACTACCAGGATATACAGCAATGACATCAGAATGTCGTTCGGACTGTAGAAGTGTAGTTGGATGATAACAAAGAGAGGGAAGGTAGCCAGAACAGAGGGGATCAAACTACCAGAAGGCAACATTGCAGACATAGAGGACAGTTACAAGTACCTGGGGATCCCGCAGGCGAATGGGAACCACGAAGAGGCCACTAGGAAAGCTGAACCACCAAGTACCTGCAGAGGGTCAGGCAAGTCCTGAGGAGTCAGCTGAATGGTAAGAACAAGATCCGGGCCATCAACACGTACGCCCTGCCCGTGATCAGGTACCCAGCTGGGGTAATAGGCTGGCCAAAGAAGGAGATAGAAGCCACTGACATCGAGACAAGAAAGCTCCTTACCATGCATGGAGGGTTTCACCCCAAGTCCAGCACCCTGAGGCTGTACGCTAAGCGGAAGGAAGGGGGCCGGGGACTGGTGAGTGTCAGCACCACAGTCCAGGATGAGACAACGAACATCCAAGAATACATTGGGAAGATGGCCCCAACTGACCGAGTGCTCAGTGAATACCTCAGGGAGCAGAAACCCAAGAAAGTGGAGGAAGGCGAGGAACCATCATGGAAGGACAGGCCCCTGCACGGTATGTACCAC